CCGCAGCCCGGTCTGTGACCAGGCCTCCTGGTGGATCAGCGCCTGATCAACCAGGCTGTTGCTGCTGGCTGCACGCAAACCAACGTATGAGCCACAGCCCGGCTGATCAGGAACTGACTTTAGGTGCTTGTCCAGTGCCAGCTTGAAGACTGCCAGGGGTCTGTTGGTAATCCCCCTTATGTGTGCTGGGAGGCAGTTGAACAGTCTCGGGCCCCTGACACTTATTGTATGGTCTCTTAACGTGCTAGTGACACCCCTGCTTTTCATTGGGGGGATGGTGCATCGTCTGCCAAGTCTTTTGCTTTCGTTAGTGAGTGATTTTCGTGTGCAAGTTCGGTACTAGTCCCTCTAGGATTTTCCAGGTGTATATAATCATGTATCTCTCCCTCCTGCGTTCCAGGGAATACAGGTTTAGAAACCTCAAGCGCTCCCAGTAATTGAGGTGTTTTATCTCCGTTATGCGCGCCGTGAAAGTTCTCTGTACATTTTCTAGGTCGGCAATTTCACCTGCCTTGAAAGGTGCTGTTAGAGTGCAGCAATATTCCAGCCTAGATAGAACAAGTGACCTGAAGAGTGTCATCATGGGCTTGGCCTCCCTAGTTTTGAAGGTTCTCATTATCCATCCTGTCATTTTTCTAGCAGATGCGATTGATACAATGTTATGGTCCTTGAAGGTGAGATCCTCCGACATAATCACTCCCAGGTCTTTGACGTTGGTGTTTCGCTCTATTTTGTGGCCAGAATTTGTTTTGTACTCTGATGAAGATTTAATTTCCTCATGTTTACCATATCTGAGTAATTGAAATTTCTCATCGTTGAACTTCATATTGTTTTCTGCAGCCCACTGAAAGATTTGGTTGATGTCCGCCTGGAGCCTTGCAGTGTCTGCAATGGAAGACACTGTCATGCAGATTCGGGTGTCATCTGCAAAGGAAGACACGGTGCTGTGGCTGACATCCTTGTCTATGTCGGATATGAGGATGAGGAACAAGATGGGAGCTAGTACTGTGCCTTGTGGAACAGAGCTTTTCACCGTAGCTGCCTCGGACTTTACTCTGTTGACGACTACTCTCTGTGTTCTGTTAGTGAGGAAATTATAGATCCATCGACCGACTTTTCCTGTTATTCCTTTAGCGCGCATTTTGTGCGCTATTACGCCATGGTCACACTTGTCGAAGGCTTTTGCAAAGTCTGTATATATTACATCTGCATTCTTTTTGTCTTCTAGTGCATTTAGGACCTTGTCGTAGTGATCCAGTAGTTGAGACAGACAGGGCTGGAATGAACTAAAGTACAACTAGGTATAAACTAATAATATAAAAATACAAATTTAAAATAGAACAAGACTCTCACTTGTAATTGCACTAAGGTCTAATATGACTTTTGTGGAGTCTGTGTTTTGAGCTAGAATGAGCTATAGTACAACTAGATTTAATCTAATAATATAAAAATACAAATTAAAAATAGCACCAGTCTCTCACTAGTAATTGCACTATGGTCTAATATAATGAATTTGGTATTGACTATAGTACAACTGAGTTTAATCTAATAATATAAAAAAGGCACAAGACTCTCAATTGTAATTGCACTAAGGTCTTATATAAGTTGTTTACAAGAATTAGAGTATAACTAGATTTAAATTGACAGGATAAAATACACAAGTTAAGGTAGCAAAAGAATAATAATAAAAAAAATAAAAATAAAAATGACAATGACTTGGTTATAATATGCTAGTAAGATGGTAGACAGGATAATATAAAAGTTATAGTTTAAAATACTAGTTTAAAAAAGTATAGAATAAAATGGTCAATAAAAGAAGTTTACAATAAGTTTGATCAATATAGTTTAAAGCAAAATTGGGCAATAATGGGGATTTTAGAATAAAATTGGGCAATTCAGTATTTCTTAAAGTGAGGTACAATTATTAAGGACAAGTTATGGCTAGTTTATAATAAAATAAGATGGAACAGTGATGCGTTAAGTTGTAAAAAAAGGAGATAGATTCTGTAGATATTAAACAAATTAAGACTATGAGGTAGAATGGTCGTTGAATACAACAATGACAATCAAAAGTAGTTGGGGTATTAGAATTTTAGGGGGGCACAAATTTATGACAATATAACACTAACTGTGGACTGTGGGTATTATCTGCACTTTACTCTGATTCTGTTAGTCCAGCCTCACTTAGGAATGTTTTAAGGTCATGTTCTGTAGAGATGAAGTATCTCTTCCCAGTGGGCTGTTTCCTCACTGCGATTTTTCCATCCCTCACAAAGCACTGGTGGATTTTTTGGACATAGAGTAATTTTCTTAGCCAATAAAGAAGGTTTTGTCTTATTTTGGTAAGGCACTCATTGACATAAACATCAGTTTTCATAGAAATAGATGTTTTTAGTAGGTTGTTTCTTTGTAGGCTAGTTTGGAATTTTAACAGCACTGTTTTTTTACCTGCTTGGTAGCCCATCAGTTTGCAATCCTTTAGGTCGTCACTACGTATGTTAAGGCGAAGGTGGTCCTTGATAAGCTGCAGGGTGGTCTCCATGCAGGTCTCTTGGGTGACTGTGGGTGGGAGATGTTTGCTGTTAACTACAACAGCATCAGATAGCTGCTGTTGGTCATTATGGTCTTGGAAGTTGGTTATGACATTGGCAAGTTGTTGGTCCACTCTTGATCTTTCCTCTGTAATGTTGGTAGTAAGTAGGGTGACTTGGTCTTTTAGAGTTTTGATGGTGTCTAGGGACTGGGTGTGGGTGTTGCTTTGTTGTTCCAGTGTGTCTAGTTTATGTTCTAGAGCAGTGATCTTGTTGAGGTAATCTGCATTGCTAGCTTTTAGTTCCTGCATTTCTTGAGTTAGTTTGGTGATCGTTTGGTTCTGAATCGTAAGGAGTTTAGCTATTTCTGGGTCGGTGATCTTCTTGACATCAAATACTGGGAAGGAGTTATCTTGGACTGTGACGGCGGCCATGTTTGTTGTTGTCTGTCGTGTGTTGTGGTGGTGCCGGTGGGTGATGAGGGTTGTGTCCTGGCTGGCAGTACCACAAGTTTTCCTCGTGTTATTACTGCTCTCACCTTTGATGTTAGGAGTCCTTAGCTGGTTACTGGATCTTCTTTTATTGCTCTGACCCTTGTCCATTGGCTGTGGCTTCGGGTGAATAATAGGCGATGGGTGAATGTTGTGGAGTATCGCTTCAGTGGCAGCGGGGTAGGAGGTGGTAGTACGAGTCCTATTAGTTGGTAATTTGTGAACTTTTGGGTGATTTCTGCAGTTGATTTATATCATTCTGGGTATCCACACATGTTAGTGTTATGTGGGTCTTGATTAGGTCATCACTGGGCTGCTGGGAACCTCAGGTAGAAGTAAAAATAGAGGACAAGGTTCCTGTTGCCGCTGCCGGTTGTCTATGTCGGGGGTAGTTGGACTGCTGAGGTAGCAGTGGCAGACAACATGAAGCAGCAGTGGCAGACAACATGAAGCAGCAGTGGCAGACATCATGAGGTAGCAGTGGCAGACATCATGAAGCATCAGTGGCAGACATCATGAGGAAGAAGTGGCAGGCAGTAATGGCAGACATCATGAGGTAACAGTGGCAGACATGAAGCAGCAGTGGCAGACATCATGAGGTAGCAGTGACAGACAACATGAAGCAGCAGTGGCAGATGACATGAGGTAGCAGTGGCAGACAACATGAAGCAGCACTGGCAGACAACATGAAGCAGCAGTAGCAGACAATATGAAGCAGCAGTGGCAGACATGAAGCAGCAGTTGCAGACATGAAGCAGCAGTTGCAGACATGAAGCAGCAGTGGCAGACATCATGCTGCAGCAGTGGCAGACAACATGAAGCAGCAGTGGCAAAGTGTAGCATTAAGAGTGTAGCACTTATAAGTCACTCTGTCTGACTTTTTTGGGTTATCTTAGGTTCTCTACACATGTAGTCAGGAGCAGGAATGGCCGCTGTGGTGGCCCTACAAACCCCAACAAAAACAATGGCCGCTGTTGCCACCACTAGCCACATACGTAGTGACATGTATTTTATTCATTCTAGTGTACATATGTTTCTATGTTATTAATATGTATTGTTTATGCCATATTGCATGAATTGTGATAGATAAATAAGCTGTAGAGTTGATATTAGGGAAATTATTGAAGTATTTTCTCATGCCGGGAATTCCACTGGAACGAATTAATTCCATTTCAATTAATTTAAATGAGGTAAATTGACTGCAAACGAGTAAATCCAGATGCGAGCAAGGTCCTGGAATGGATTACACTCGTAAGTAGAGGTTCCACTGTATCTCCTTTTTCACCTTTATCAAGTAGTACTGTCATTTATGGATTTAGCACTTCCATGAATATAATGCAATACCAATCCTTCAAGACAAGTAGTATGGGGAACTTGTAAATTTGTATATGAATGGTTCAGAGAACCAACATGCTGATAAATTAGACACATGTGCAACTCTTGGGTATCTCCTCCTGTTCTTCAAGTTTCTCCTACGTATGGACTGATGAAGCCACTGTGTGGCGAAACGTTTCCTCAATAAAGATACCCAAGAGTTGCACATGTGTCTAATTTATCAACTTGTAAATTGTAAAGCAAATATAAACAAAATTTTTTGTTTGCTTGTAGAATTTTTTTTATTACACAACGGCTGTTTCCCACTAATACAGGATGACCCCAAAAAAAGAACAAACACTTTCATCATCATTCACTCCATCACTGTTTTGCCAGAGGCATGCCAATACTACAGTTCAGAAACTGCAGTAGTATATCTTCACCCGTCCTTCAGAGTGCAGGCACTGTATTTCCCACTTTCAGGAGTCAAGTCCTGTTAAAGGGTTTTCCTGAATCCCTTCATAAATGTTACTTTGCTCACACTCCAACAGCACATCATCATAAAAACCATTTGCTTCCACTTGCTCCTACCGAACACACTCACACAAGCTTGGGGGAAGTCTAAGCCCCTTGCACACAAAACCTCTTTCACCCCATCCCGCCACTCCCGACCTTCCACTACAGATTTATACATCCTCCAAGAGATTCTATTTTATTCCATCCTCTCTAAATGTCTGAACCACCTCAAAATCCACTTCTTAGCCCTCTGGATAATACTTTTAGAAACCCCACATCTTCTAATCTCCAGACTACAGATTCTCTGCATAATCACACCACACATTGCACTCAGACACAACATCTCCACTGCCTCCAGCCTTCTCCATGCTTCACACCCATATAAGAGCATTGGTATCACTATACCTACTCTTACATTTCCCTCTTTGCTTCTGTAGATAAATCCTTTAACTCCACAGACTCTTCAGTGCACCACTCATCTTTTACCCCCCCTCCCCCTCGTCAGTTCTGTGGTTCACCTCGTGTTTCATAGACCTATCTGCTTGTAGAAGCAATAAGTATTTGCAGTTAGTACTGTATAACAAAAACAATAGAATAATGAAAACATGTCAAATTTTACTTTCAGCTATAAAGTGGATATAAATGCCCTGAAGCACACTTGTAGAACATTGAAAGAGGAGGTGACCCAGCCACAAAGCATGAAAGCCAGTGAATCTCCAGAAGAAACTACAACATAATAAAGACCTATTTTGAGAGATGAAGATAAATTAAAAATTGTTGAAGTACTAGTCATAAAAGCCAGTAAGAACCTAACAAAAGGCAACATGCTACACTGGAAGAAAAAGGTCTTGAAGAATATATCTGAAGCACTAAACAGGAAGGAAACACCACAGGAAGATGAAATCTCATTAAAGATGAAACAAGTGTTACCTGGAGAAGATAAAGTATCACAGAAGAAAACTGAAGAAGTGATGAAGATAAGTACTGGACGTTTAAATAACACAAGTGCCTCTGTGGAAAAGTCTGAACTTCTAACAAAAGCAGAAGACTCGTTGAAATTTGTAAATGAGCCACTGTGCGTTGGTAAACCTGATCACAGAGTGAAAGTGTTACAAAAGAAAGTAGAATATCAGGGCAAAGAATGTGAACAGTTGAGCAAAACAAATGATCCCTTACAAAAAAAAGAAAAATCAACGAAGAATGCAGTGATAAATTCCCCTGTGATGAGTAGTGATGAACCAAGGCAGAAATATGTAAGTTCTTTTACAAGTTCTGAACTAAAGAACACGAGATCGGTAATAATACAAGAGGAGTCAGTGCAACATGAGAATAGTGCTCATTTGAAGAATACAACTATTTTACAAAAAGTAAACATGACACAGAAGGATGAGTCTACTCAAAAACTAATGCAAACTAAATCACATAAGATAGGTAATGGCACCTCAGACATGTCAGTGCAGTCACAGAGTAGAATTCAACCATTAAAAATCACAACAGATCAAGTGAAGGCATCAGTAGGGCCATTGGAGAAAGATGAATCACTGAAGTGTGATAGTGATCAGCCACTGAAGATAACTGAACCACAGATGATGACAGAGGAAACTAAGAAGTCATTAGAGTCACAGAGTGATCCTCACTCCACAAAGACAACAGAGGAGTCTCAGAATAAAGTAACCATAATACATAAGAGTAATGTTACTAAACCACTAAATAAAATTGAGTCACAGAAGACTGCAAATGAGGCAAATAAAAAATTAGAACCTCTACAGAGTGCTACTCAGTTAATTAAAACAACAGTAGTACTTCAGCAAATTAAAAATACGGCTTTCTCTCAAGAAACTGCTGAAAAATGTCTTGAAACACGAGATACTTTTAAAATGATACAAGGGAAGTCGGTACATTTTCTGAATATTATTCAGTCACTAAAGGCAAAAGTAGAACCACAGAGTAGAGAAAAGTTGCTGAAGAATATGGATAGAATGTTATATATGCAACAACAGCAAATGAAGACAACAAAGGCACTGAAGAATAAGAATGAGCCAGAACAGGAACTTAATCAACTGGTAGATATTCTTCAAGTTTCACCAAAGATTGACAAGTCACTTAGAGAGGCAGCTGTAACTCAGAGTGAAGCAGATGGTTCACATGAGACGAAAGACATCATGATGTGTAATGCAACATTTTTATCTCATAATGTTAATAATGATTTAACTCTAAATATCCCAAAGACAGTTGATGATGCACCTTATATGACAGTGAGAACTGAATTTGAGGTGGATACAGGTAACTGGAATGACATACCAGTTTCTGTGGATGAATTAAGAGAATTCTATAAAAATTCTTCATTAATATCAAAAAGTGGAGCTTCGAACAAAGGCCATTCCAATAAGTCTCATTCAGTGAAGTCAGTAGAGTCACAGAGTGATCCTCACTCGGTAAAGTCAGTAGAGCCACAGAGTGATCCTCACTCGGTGAAGTCACTAGATTCACAGAGTGAGCCTTACTCGGTGAAGTCAGTAGAGTCACAGAGTGTTCCTCACTCAGCAAAGACAGCAGAAGAGTCTCAGAATAAAGTAAACATAGTGCATAAGAGTAATATTACTAAACCACTAAATAAAATTGAGCCACAGAAGACTGCAAATGAGGCAAAGAAAAAATTAGAACCTCTACAGAGTGCTACTCAGATAATTAAAACAACGGTAGTACCACAGATGACAAAAGCTGTAATACAGGCATTCAGTGTTCCCCATTTTGAAAAGGAAACTCAACAACAGAAGAGGGCAAATGATATTAGAGATAAGTCAATAGAACCACAGAGTGCTATTAAGTCAGTGAACAGAATAGCAGAGCCACAGGAGAGAGAGACAACTCTGCCTCTGAAGCCAGTAGTTGAATCTGGAAAAGTTGATCAGTCTCTAGAGACCTCATCACTGTCACCAAATGCCATTAAACAACAGAAAAAACACAGTGAAATAAGCAAGGTAGAAGAACTGCCAAATGAAGACACAAACCTATTGGCAGTGGAGGATTATCAGTTAAAGAAATTTGAACCATTGATTGAGTCATCAACACTACTGGATATTACAAATAACCCTAATCCAGACAAGAAAGAAGAACTAATAGCAGAGAAAATCAGGTCAGTGAAGATAAATAGTATGACTAAAGTGAAAGGAGAACCATTGCACAACACATGTCTGCCATTAAATAACATTAATGACTCGTTAGAGGTACATAGTAAGTCACTAGTGAAGGTAAGTGAGATAACAGACAAGGCACTTGAACAAATTAAAAATATGACTTTCTCCCAACAAGAAACTGCTGAAAAATGTCTTGAAACACGAGATACTTTTAAAATGACACGAGGGAAGTCAGTACATTTTCTGAATGTTGTTCAATCAATTCAGTCACTAAAGGCAAAAGAAGAACCACAAAGTAGAGAAAAGTTGCTGAAGAATATGGATAGAATGTTATATTTGCAACAACAGCAAATGAAAGCAACAGAGCCATTGAAGAATAAGAATGAGCCAGAACAGGAACTTAATCAACTGGTAGATATTCTTCAAGTTTCACCAAAGATTGACAAGTCACTTAGAGAGGCAGCTGTAACTCAGAGTGAAGCAGATGGTTCACATGAGACGAAAGACATCATGATGTGTAATGCAACATTTTTATCTCATAATGTTAATAATGATTTAACTCTGAATATCCCAAAGACAGTTGATGATGCACCTTATATGACAGTGAGAACTGAATTTGAGGTGGATACAGGTAACAGGAATAACACACCAATTTCTGTGGATGAAGTAAAAGAATTCAGTAAAAATTCTTCATCAATATCAAAAAGTGAAGCTTTGGACAAAGGTCATTCAAATAAGCCTTCCATATTTCAGCACAAAGGTCTAGTTTTACCTGATAGACCTACCATGAGAGCCTTTATGTATTTACATAAGAAAAATCAGCTACAGAAAAAATCAAAAAAATTTAAGAGATTGGCTAATATTCTTCAGAGGAAAGCTAACCTGAAGCAAAATGGAGTTTACCAGAAGAATACTGATAAGTTAAAAGAAATAACTTTACATTTGAATTGGGAAAAGACTTTCACAAGGCAGCTTGATGATTTGTATAAGAAATGTGATATTGATAAAAAGAAAAAAGAAAAAATCTCCCAAAAGGCATGCGAAGTGCAGGATCAGTTGATAAGTATATATGTGCTGAAGGAAGAAGTAAGTACATTATTGCTAGCAGTTTATGAAGAAGTAAACAAGGACCGAGTGAAGGGATGTATGTCAGTGTCTGTGACTATGGCATTCAAAGAAACATGGAAAATACTTAATGTTGCCATGCAGAGACTTTATGAATATAATACGTCTTTTACTAAGAGGGTACAAGATTTTAAAAAGTTAATAATTAAATTAAAGATGAATGAAACGGATAACATTGAAAAGTTGATTTTGTGTTTAGATAGAAAGACCACCAAGCTCACAAAGAAGATAATAATACTTAAAAAGAAAATATGTCTGCTTAAGACACCTAATGTGGGTATGTTAAGTGTAGATAGACTAGAGGATAGGGCTCAAAGGTATAGTTACTTGGCTAAACTCTTTTTTGAGCTATACCAATTCCTCCAGACTTCAGCATATGATAAAAAACACACTAATGCAACTCTAGAGAAAGCTTTGAATAAAGTACCTGATTTTTACATATCCTGGAGAAAATCCGATATCTATAAAAAAATTGATGAACCACCCAAAGAACCAGATTGTGCAACACTTGTCAATGATTTTACAGTTGAGCCATTAAAGCTTTCAGGAGAAGAAGCTTCTACAACTTTGCCTAATCAAAAACTTGTTGGGAAGAAAGGCACTAAATCTTCAGTAGCAGGCTGGAACATTACAGAAGGTAATAAACCTAGTGGAGTGCAAAAAACAATGTACGAGTCAGTGAAAATGTGGAGGGTTTCATCTCGTGAGACTAATAGAGTTGCTAGAGCTTCTCCACTAGAAGTATGTACTCTTCCAAGGAAAGTATCTGATCTTCCAAGAGTAGTATCTGATCCTCCAAGCAAAGTATCTGATCTTCCAAGACTAGCACCTGATTCTCCAAACAATGTATCTACTCTTCCAAGAAAAGTATTTGATCTAAGAGTAGTGCCTGATCCTCCATGCAAAGTATCTGCTCTTCCAAGGAAAGTATTTGATCTTCCAAGAGTAGCACCTGATCTCTCAAGCAAAGTATCTGCTCTTCCAAGCAAAGTATTTGATCTTCCAAAAGTAGTACCTGACCTTCCAAGCAAAGTATCTACTCTTCCAAGGAAAGTATTTGATCTTCTAAGAGTAGCACCTGATCCTCCAAGAAAAGTATCTGATCTTCCAAGAGTAGCACCTGATCTCTCAAGCAAAGTATCTGCTCTTCCAAGGAAAGTATTTGATCTTCCAAGCATAGTATCTGCTCTTCCAAGGGAAGCATGTAATCCTCCAAGAGAAGCACACAATCCTCCAAGGGAAGCACATAATCCTCCAAGGGAAGCATGTAATCCTCCAAGAGAAGCACACAATCCTCCAAGGGAAGCACATAATCCTCCAAGGGAAGCACATAATCATTCAAGGGAAGCACGTAATCCTCCAAGGGAAGTACCTGTTCTTCCATGGATAGGAAGTGCTCCTCCAAGGAAATATTAACCACTGCGATTGTAGTTGAAAGATTGTAGAAATTTTTTATATGATATTACTTAGGCTTATTTTAAGGTACAAATCTAGGAGTTAAAATGTATAAGTAATGTGACATGTGACTCAAAAAAAAAAATAGTCATTTAGACTAGCAAGGAACTTGTTTAAAATGTATAGGGCACAAGCTTTTTCAATATTTTATTCTTATAACCTCATATGGCAGCATACCATTATAATGAAGAGGAATCACACGCAAGATTTTTGCTGAAGTTGCAGTCTCCATTTGTAGTAGAGAAAAAAGACTGCACAGCTTGCAACAATGCCAGTAGAAGAATAATGGAGACATTATGAACCTCAGTCTACCCAAGTATGTGACTTGTTAACATTTTAATTTTGATAACCTTCTGTTTACCTCATGGTATGGTAGTTGTTGCCATCAAGTATGGTAGAAACATATTTTTAGAGCAAGGCTTTATTATAGATGATATTCTTCTCTGAGTAGAGCTAAATGAAGTTATGCAGGAACAGTGAGATAGGTCATTAAGACAGTTATCTGGTAAGAACTTCACACAAAAACATAAAAGGTACAGAATAAAAAATTTCAATATATCTTTCAGTGAAATTCTCAGTACAACTTACCTTTCTTCATGATGCGAGTGGGTTCACCATTCACTGCCTTTATATAAAGGCGTTCTCCGATGCACTTCTCCCCGGCTGGGCCCCTGGCCCCAGCAATGCCCAACGGGTGGCCTGCCTTATATAAAGGCAACATGGAAACGGCCAGGATAGACGCCGGGTGGTTCTGGAGCGTGCTCCGACACACCTTGCCCTGGCAGTGCCATGGATGAAAAGTTTACCTTCTAAACCCCTGATACTGACACTCTTTGTAAGATCTTAGAAATATGTATAGTCATAATAGAATTTTTCTCTAGTCACATCTGCAAGGCATAATTTAACATATCACGAATTAAGATTTCGTTAGTAACACTCAAGTGATTAAATGCAGATGAGGTGGAAGTTGAAGAGGTCAAGATCAGCAGGCATCATCACTGCCACAGATAACACCTGACTCTCACCTTACATGATAAATCATTAATGATCTATCACATTACTCTACTATGACTATTATACTCTACCCAGATACAGTGGACCCTCGGGTAACGCCTTTAATCCGTTCCGGAGAGCTAGCCTTTAACCGATTTAGCCTATAGCTGAATTAATTTTCCCATAAGAAATAATGGAAATCAAATTAATCCGTTCCAGACACCCAAAATTATTAAACAAAATAAATTTTTTTACATGAGATATACATTTCCCTATGCAGAAAACAATGATACATGCACAATAAACAATACTAAAATGACACTTACCTTTATTGTGGACTTGATGAGTGATGAGATGGGAGGAGGGGAGAGGATGAAGGTGTTTTATTGTTTGGAAGGGAAATCCCCTTCCATAAAGACTTCAGGTAACAAGTCCTTTTCTGGGGTTACCTCCCTTCTTGGTTTTTTAATGCCACTATGACCAGCTTGAGAGTCACTGGACCCCTGTTGCACAAAATATCTGTCCAGAGAGCTCTGTTTCTCATGTCCCTTTAAGATTTCCCTAAGATAGGACACAAGAGTGTCATTGTACATGTTGCCAATATGGCTTGCAACAGCTGTTTCAGGATAATATTCATCCATAAATGCTTGCAACTTTGTCCACATTGTACACATTTCCTTAATCTTTGACGAAGGCAACTTCCTCCGTCTCTCTTCCTCCTCCTCTGAAGCAAATTCCTGAGCTGTGATCAGTTGCTGTTGCACCTGAACCTCTTGCAGCTCTGTAGTGGTTAGCCTTCGTCGTCATCCTCCACCAACGCTTCCACATCCTCACCACTAACCTCCAACCCCATGGAGGTGCCCAATGCCACAGTAGATTCCACAACTGGCATAATCTCCTGAGGGTTAGCCCCAAACCCTTCAAAATCCCTTTCTTGTACACATTGTGGCCACAGTTTTCTCCAAGCAGAGTTCAAAGTCCTGCAAGTCACTCTCTCCCAGGCCTTACCTATAAGGTTTATGCAACTGAGGATACTGAAGTGATCTTTCCAGAACTCTTAGGGTCAATTCAGTGTCTGAGGTCACTTCAAAGCACTTTTGAAACACTGCTTTGGTGTACAGTTTTTTGAAGTTTGAAATGACCTGCTGGTCCATGGGCTGGAGGAGAAGAGTGGTATTAGGAGGCAAAAACTTCACTTTGATGAAGCTCAACTCCCCCGCAATTTGCTCTTGCAAGTCGTGAGGATGAGCAGAAGCACTGTCCATTACCAGGAGGCACTTGAGTGACAATTTATTTTCCAGGAGGTACTTTTTCACAGTGGGGCCAAACACGTCATAGAACCAGTCAAGGAAAATGTCTCTAGTGACCCATGCCTTACTGTTTGCTCTCCACATCACACACAATTTAGTCTTGACGACATTGTTTTTCTTGAACACTTTGGGAGTTTCAGAGTGATACACAAGTAAAGGCTTCACTAGCATTACTACAAAATAGAGTTAGCCTGTCTTTCATAGGCTTGTGTCCTGGGAGTGCCTTTTCCTCCTGAGTAATGTAGGTTCTGTTTAGCATTTTCTTCCAAAACAGGCCTGTTTCATCACAATTAAACACTTGTTGGGGTTTTAATTTTTCAGTGTCTATGTACTCCTTAAAGTCCTGCACATATTTTTCAGCCACTTTTTTGTCAGAACTGGCAGCCTCACCATGCCTTATCACACTGTATGCCACTACGATTCTTAAATCTCTCAAACCAGCCTTTGCTGGCCTTAAATTCATCAATAGCAGCACTATTTGGAGACATTTTCTTAATGAGATTCGCATGCAACTGCCTTGCCTTTTCACGTATTATTGACTGAGAAACACTATCTCCTGATAATTGTTTCTCGTTTATCCACACCAACAACAGTCTCTCCACATTTTCGAGTATTTGCGATCTCTGTTTTCTAAGCATACTTGCACCTTTCTCAACAACATCTTCCTTGATTGCCTTTTTTGTTGGCCAAGATAGTAGTGATGGTTGAATGGGGTTTGTTACATAACCTTTCCAACTCTGAGATACGCACTCCACTCTCGTACAGTGGAACCTCAAATATCGAACTTTCTTCGGTCCAGAAGGCTGTTCGAGTGCCTTTACCGAATGAATTTATTCCCATCAGGAATAATGTAAATTAGATTAGTCCATTTCAGACCCTCAAAAATACACTTATAAAAGCACTTACAAAAATACTCTTACATAATTGGTCGTGTTGGGAGCAGTTCGATTTTTGAGGTTCCACTGTACTTTGCGATTATCTCTTATTTTAATTCAATAGTATTCTCACCCTTTTTACCACAGGGTTGGCACTAGAAGCTTTCTTGGGGCCCGTGGTGGCTTATTTAGCAGTTACAAGCACTAAAAACAATGGAATAATATAAAATATATCGCATGTACGCGTGGAATCGTCCTCACTGGCTTTGTAAACAATGGCACACTGGCTGTACAAGGAGTCATGGAGTGGCTGGGCCCACTCAGGCCACGCGGACACGTTTGGGACGAAAGCCCTTAACCGAGTTATTTGGCATTAGCCGAGTCAATGTTCTTATGCCAGAGCAAGCCGTTATCCGATTTTGGCGCTAACCGGTGATGCCATTAACCGAGGGTCCACTGTATATATCCTCTGTAATAACGGTTTAAGTGTCTTTATACCATTTTTTATATCTTTTTTTATCTATAATTTCACATGATTACCTTGTCACATTCACCTATATTTTCTCATGTAAATATTTTCTTCCTACTTTATTCTACATTTAGTTTTCCTTGCTATAATGGTTTTTGGGCTGTTAACAAAAATTTGTATATTTTTACTTGGATGTGTGCTGTATGATTCATATGGCTTTGATGCTTGTTTTTGAATACATGTATAATAATTTTCCTTCATAGTTAATATTTTCAAATTTTGGCATTTCCTGTATTTTATATAATGTACGTTGCAAGTATATGGAATGGGTGGTAAGTTACTAAATGCTGTAAAGAGTTTTTATGAGGATAGTGAGGCTCAGGTTAGGGTGTGTAGAAGAGAGGGAGACTACTTCCCAGTAAAAGTAGGTCTTAGACAGGGATGTGTAATGTCACCATGGTTGTTTAATATATTTATAGATGGAGTTGTAAAAGAAGTAAATGCTAGGGTGTTCGGGAGAGGGGTGGGATTAAATTATGGGGAATAAAATACAAAATGGGAATTGACACAGTTACTTTTTGTTGATGATACTGTGTTTATGGGAGATTCTAAAGAAAAATTGCAAAGGTTAGTGGATGAGTTTGGGAGTGTGTGTAAAGGTAGAAAGTTGAAAGTGAACATAGAAAAGAGTAAGGTGATGAGGGTATCAAATGATATAGATAAAGAAAAATTGGATATCAAATTGGGGACGAGGAGTATGGAAGAAGTGAATGTTTTCAGATACTTGGGAGTTGACGTGTCGGCGGATGGATTTATGAAGGATGAGGTTAATCATAGAATTGATGAGGGAAAAAAGGCGAGTGGTGCGTTGAGATATATGTGAAGTCAAAAAACTTTATCTATGGAGGCAAAGAAGGGAATGTATGAAAGTATAGTAGTACCAACACTCTTATATGGGTGTGAAGCTTGGGTTGTGAATGCAGCAGCGAGGAGGCGGTTGGAGGCTGTGGAGATGTCCTGTCTAAGGGCAATGTGTGGTGTAAATATTATGCAGAAAATTCGGAGTGTGGAAATTAGGAGAAGATGTGGAGTTAATAAAAGTATTAGTCAGAGGGCTGAAGAGGGGTTGTTGAGGTGGTTTGGTCATTTAGAGAGAATGGATCAAAGTAGAATGACATGGAGAGCATTTAAATCTGTAGAAGGAAGGCAGGGTAGGGGTTGTCCTCGAAAAGGTTGGAAGGAAGGGGTAAGGGAGGTTTTGTGGGCAAGGGGCTTGGACTTCCAGCAGGCGTGCATGAGCGTGTTCGATAGGAGTGAATGGAGACGAATGGTATTTGGGACCTGACGATCTGTTGGAGTGTGAGCAGGGTAATATTTAGTGAAGGGATTCAGGGAAACCGGTAATTTTTATATAGCCGGACTTGAGTCCTGGAAATGGGAAGTATGTACAATGCCTGCACTCTAAAGGAGGGGTTTTGGGATATTAGCAGTTTGGAGGGATATGTTGTGTGTGTATATACGTATATGCTTCTAAACTGTTGTGTTCTGAGCACCTCTGCAAAAACAGTGATTATGTGTGAGTGAGGTGAAAGTGTTGAATGATGATGAAAGTATTTTCTTTTTGGGGATTTTCTTTCTTTTTGGGTCACCCTGCCTCGGTGGGAGACGGCCGACTTGTTGAAAAAAAAAAACTACTATCATAATTCCAGGTTAGATAACACACTATTAATGTTTATTGGATTTACAGGGTAATTATTGAAATGCATTTTATTTCCAGTTGAGGTCATATATTCATTTCTGTTCTGAATAAAGAAAAAAATATTGATTGCTTGTAAACTATTAGTTTTGTTTTTGATAAAATGTGTAGAAAAAATTAGACTTATGAAATAATAACCCGAGATGATTAATCATTTAGGATAACCCAAGAAAGCCAGTCAGTGTGGTTTACCTCTGTTGCAGTCACTAGCTCTCTCTGACTGACTAGTTGAACAAGAGCAGCAGGTGTGGGGAGACTTACCCATATGTTTGGCTTTGCCTAAGATTCAAACCTGGATTCTGTCTGTTGAGTCCAGTGCTAGGCAGTTCTTGGCATGGGAAGCCCTACCTACAAAAAGGTTTCTGCCACCAAGGGACAGGACTTGAATTATTAGATATTCCTACTGCATATTCATTTAAAGCACTTTTATAAATCCATGTAGAAAATAACATTAAAATTGATTTTACCCTTATTTCATATAGCTTTATAATGTTCTAATCAACTTTCTCATCAAGTTCTTGCTTCACTATAGATCCTCAGAGGGACTCAGCTATAACCAACAAGCTGTAGCAGTTGTTCAGGATTCATCTTGGAGGTCTGTCACTACATTTGCTTGACTACTCATGACCAGGAAAGTACAGTAATCACTATACTCTAGGATGTGAGTAAGGAATTGTTAAGTGCAACTTTTTTTTTTTTTTTTTTTTTTTTTTTTGTGCCATGTGCCAGTCATTCACTCTCCGAATACTGTGTATAAATAATTAGGTATTTTCTGTATATAGTCGTACCTTGACTTACGAGTGCCCCAACTTACAAGTTTTCCAAGTTACGAGCCGTAGCTTGATCGATTTTTTGCTTTGAGTTGCGAGCCAAAATCCAAGTTACAAGCGAGCTTCAGATACACCACCAAGTTGGCACAGCGACTGCCAGAACATCTGCCCAGCATCCCAGCATTTTGTGCAGTTATTTTGCCAAATTTCTTTTTCTAATCATGGGTCCTTAGAGAGCAAGTCCAAAGGACAGTGCTGAGAAGAGGAGGATGATGTCCATTGAAGTAAAGCATGAAATCATAGAAAAACACAAGAAAATTTCTTTTGTTTCTGTGTTTTCCATATGAAACTAGTGATCTAGTGCAGTTAGCCTCACAGACACTCTGCTTCCTCTTATAATAAGACCTCAGAAGGGCAAGAATGGGAAGATGTGGTCAGAGCGGTAATTATTTTTACCTCAGGAGTGGCCACCACCACTCGTTACATGACGTATTTTATTCATTCTAGAGTATATATCATGTTTATATGTTATTTATATTGCTTATTATATATTACATCAATTGTGATAGATAAATAAGCCATAGAGTTGATATTAGCATTATATTGAAGTACAGTGGACCGTCATTTAACATGGTAGTTACATTCCTGAAAACGCGTTTTTAGTTAAAATCATGTTAGACAAACAAGAATTTATGGGAAGAAATAGGGTTACATTCCTGGAAGCCCCCAAAAAGCCAAACAACTTTTTTTAGACCTCTAGATCTTACAAAAAATAAACACGAATATGTAATTGTAGTTCATTGTCGTGATGTATTGTTTTTACTGCTTAAGATTACAACTGCAACAGAAATAATAGTATCTCTTACATTAAATTGTGGATGCTGGTGTTTGTGGATGATTGTGAAGAGAGTGGAGAGTTATGTTGTGGTCCTACTGGACTGAGGTGGATGGTAGAGGTACTGGTACTGAAGTTGATGGTTGTACTGGAGTGTGCATAAATTCTGTAGTGGATTTCTGTTCTATTTTACCCTCCAGTACATTATACAACTGATGGTAAGGTATCAGCTGCTCTAGACACTATTTCAGGGTCCTCTTCAGAGAAAAAGTCTAACTCTAAGTCAGTCAGTAAATCAGTCAAGTCAGCAAGTTAGTCAAGTAAGTAAATCAGTCAGGTCAGTAAGTCAGTCAAGTCAGTATATCAGTCAGTCAGTTATTCAAATATGACTGATTGACTTACTGTTAGTCAATCAGTAAATCAGTCAAGTCATTTGGTCAGTCAATCAGCAAATCAGTTCAGTCAAGTCAGTCAGTAATACGTACAGTTAGTAATACAGTCAGTAAATCAGTCAAGTCAGTAAGTCAGTCAGTCATCACACAAACTCATGTTTACCTTTTTTTATGCGCACAAATAGTCACTTCATTACGGCCACTGGCTATCTCTCGTCTATTTTCTTTGTTAATTCTAAGACTTAAATGCTCAAACCTTTTCTTGCCACTTTCAGCAACACTTGTATGCCTACTGGGTGCCATAATTGCTTGGCAGATTTAAGATATGGCAAGAAAAAGATATAAACTCCTAGCAGAGGATGGTACATATCCCGTGGGCGACGCATTCAAAATCTTTTCCCCTCCGCGAATCATGTTGATTTTATGAAGTGTTATACAAAAATATGTCGCAATTCTTCAATCATACTATAACCAAAACGTACCAGACAACCAGACAAAACCGTGTTAAACGACGGTCTGCTGTATTTTCTCCTGCCTCCCGAGAGTCAGGAATTCAACTGTAATGGATTAATGACATTTCAGTTAATTTCGATGAAAATTTATTTGATATACGTACAGTGGACCCCCGCATACCGTTGGCCTTACATAACGTTAAATCCGCATACCGCTACATTTTATCACCAAGATTTTGCCTCGCATACCGCTAAAAAACCCGCTCAACGCTGTTCGTCTGAGACGCGTCTATGTGCGGCCTGAGCCACGCTCACATGTTCTGCCGGTGGCATTGTTTACCAGCCAGCCTCCGCGGTAACATCCAAGCATACAATCGAAACATTTCGTATTATTACAGTGTTTTTGGTGATTTTATCTGCAAAATAAGTGACCATGGGCCCCAAGAAAGCTTCTAGTGCCAACCCTACAGCAATAAGGGTGAGAATTACTATAGAGATGAAGAAAAAGATCATTGATAAGTATGAGAGTGGAGTGCATGTCTCCGAGCTGGCCAGGTTGTATAATAAACCCCAATCAACCATCGCTATTATTGGTGGTACAGCTGCTGCTGCTGCTGTATCACCGTCAGCTGCTGCTGCTGCTGTAGCACCGTCAGCTGCTGCTGTACCACCGTCAGCTGCTGCTGCTGCTGTAGTACCGTCTGCTGCTGCTGTAGCATCGTCTGCTGCTGCTGTAGCATCGTCTGCTGCTGCTGTAGCACTGTCAGCTGCTGCTGCTGTAGTACCGTCTGCTGCTGCTGTAGTACCGTCTGCTGCTGCTGTAGCATCGTCTGCTGCTGCTGTAGTACTGTCTGCTGCTGCTGTAGCATCGTCTGCTGCTGCTGTAGCACCGTTGTTGGTGTGGCTTATTGAGAATACCAAGAAACAATTAACCCCAGAGGATTTTCCACCCAGGATAACCCAAAAAAGTCAGTGTCATCGAAGACTGTCTAACTTATTTCCATTGGGGTCCTTAATCTTGTCTCCCAGGATGCAACCCACACCAGTCGTCGACTAACACCCAGGTGAACAGGGAAAAATGCCTGGAACTAGTGCTCATATTGGTGAATTTAAAGCCAGCAAAGGTTGGTTTGAGAGATTTAAGAATCGTAGTGGCATACACAGTGTGATAAGGCCTGTTCTGGAAGAAAATGCCAAACAGGACCTACAGTACTCAGGAGGAAAAGGCACTCCCAGGACACAGTGTCTCATCAGTCATTGCTGCATCTTCAATAAAGGTGTCATTTATTTTTCATTTAGTAGAGTAGTACATGCACAATATATATTGTGCATGTACTACTCTACTATTGTGCATGTATCCTTCTCTTTGTGTGTAGGAAAATGTATATTTCATGTGGTAAAAATTTTTTTTCATACTTTTGGGTGTCTTGCACGGATTAATTTGATTTCCATTATTTCTTATGGGGAAAATTCATTCGCATAACGATAATTTCGCATAACAATGAGCTCTCTTGCACGGATTAATATCGCTATGCGGGGGTCCACTGTACATGTACGAGCAGATTGAGTTACGAGCTCGGTCACAGAACAAATTAAACTCGTAAGTCAAGGTACCACTATATATTGATTTTATTATGGCATGTGATGTTATAAAAAAATGTTCATTTAGTTTATAAATCATCCAGTGGTACCTTGACTTACAAGTTTAATTCATTCCTTGATCCAGCTCGTAACTCAGTTTGCTTGTATATATCAAATCAGTTTTCCACAGTGAAATTAATTAAAATGCCATTAATCCATTTCAGCTCCCCTTCACTAATACACCCACCACCATCACTTCTCCACCTACCACTATCGCTACTCCCACTACTATCACTACACCACCCTCACTACTCCACCCACCATTATCACTACACCCACAATTATCACTACTCCATCCACCATTAATCACTACATCCACCACTATCACTATTCCACCCACCATTATCACTACTCCATCCACCACTCTCACTACTCCAAGCACCATTATCACTACTCCACTCACCACCCTCATTACTCCATGCACCACTATCACTACTCCACCCGCTAAAGGGAGCCTCCATGAGGCATGTAAATATCACGGAGGCCTTCCCTAATGTTTCTGGTAAAACTCTGAGTGTTGAAATGGAGGTTACCTCTTCCCCAGATTTATACAAGAATCTGACAAGGGACGAGTTGCCTCACAACAATCTGGGATTAGTGTGGGAGGATTATCCTTTCAGTTATGTCTTGGAAGAGCATGTGGGATGGGATGAAGTACCTGACATTCCTCCGGGTACAAAGTTGGATTTGACTTCGGATACGGTGCCAACTAGTGGCGGTGTACCTGCAGCTCACTTGTAACTTGGATTTTTATCTCACAACTCAAAGCAAAAAATCAACCGAGCGATGGCCCGTAACTCAGAAAACTCGTAAGTTGGGGTACTTGTAAGTCAAGGTACCACTGTATTTTAAATCTGGAATTAAGCTATTTGTTTATTGAAGATGTAAGCAGAGTTTATTGCTCTGAAACCTCGGTTATTTTGTTAATATTTAAGTTCAAAGTTATATATTTTTCCATTATCATTCAGTTACTGTTTGTCACAAAGTAGTCTTGTAAATTTGTACATTATTATTATAATCAAAAAGAAGCGCTAAGCCACAAGGGCTATACAGCGTAAATTTGTACATAACATTACTTTCTGCTGAATGCTGAACCATATTTTTATATGAGAAAAAACCAATACCCGTTGTACATTGATCATTTTTTGTAATTTTTTTTTTTATGCAAGTCTTTCCCTTGAAAGCAGGTTATAAAACATTTGCCAACAGTCTGTTTACTTTCTTCAGGCAGAGGGACTGTAACTATAGTGATCATACATATTTCTGGCTAGACAATACTCATATATCGTCTTCCACTCTTAATTTCTCCTTCATTTGGAGAACCCTTTTTGCCACAGTGTAAGGAAGCTGTTTTGTACCAGGATTATTATTATTGTAGTCATTGGGGAAATGTTAAACCCCAAGAAAGGAGGGGTCAGTTCCAGTTTCTTGGATCAAGTGCCCTCACCAGGATCAAAGAACTCCCTTGATGGGTGTACTGGAGATAGGTAAATTGAAACTCCTTTGGTATACAGTATTGTAAAAGAACTGACAGGCTACATATATTTATATAACCATGCACCAGTGAATAA